CCTTCCACAAATTAGCTTGCATCTCTCCCCACATGCCCTCACCTCACAGACCAATTGAGTCCCCAGCTTTGTATTCTCATGGCTCCCTGAAGCCACGCTCACCATTATATTCAGGCATTTGTTTGTAATATCTATCTAATGCTTATTTGGGGCCAGGCACCTGTGGGCAGTCGGAATAAAGCAGAGAGCTTAACAAATGCAGGTTCCTTCTTGAGGAAGCTCCTCAGAAGCTCTTGGTGATTGGGTGACACGTGGCCCCTCTCACACTTGTGACAAGGGCTGGGCAGGAGATGTGTCAGCTGCCCAGAGAGAGTTAAAGGGGCTTCCAGGGGAAGACCCTTGGGCAGAGAAAGGAAGGAGGAGTAGGCCTGAGCAGGCATTGTGAAGGGGAGCATTGCAGGCTGAGGGAACAGAGACATGAAGACCTTGAGGCAGGACAAAGGCAAGACTTTCAGGGAAAGATGGCAACATGGCCCCCGAGAGAGGGATCTGGTGAGGGCCACAGGGGCCTGGCCATGAGGGCCTATGGTCCAGGTTAACGAGTTTGACTCTGTTCCAAGAGCACCAGGAGGCCATTTTATGCTTTTAGCTGCGGAGTGACATAAACAGGAGTGTGCGGGGTGTGAGTGTGAATGTGTGTGTGTGTGTGTGTTACTCCGGCTACGTGTGGAAAATGGATGGGAAGTGGCAGGAATGGAAGCAGATATCCTACCCCCATATCCCAGAGGCTACTGCAGGGGTCCATAGCAAAGGAGGGTCCCCAGGTGCAGATATGCAGGTTACTCACTGTACAGGAGCACGTGGCTAAGGAGGACTAGTGGGAGCTGAAATCAAGCCTTACTCCTCTCACCAAGCTGAGAGCCCTGGCACAGAGCTGAGACTGGCCAAAGGAAATGGCAACTTTTTCTTATTTGCTCAAAGGCATCGGTGCCCACTGAACTCTGCATACAATGAGCTGTGTCTGTGTGAAGGGGATGACAGTTCTATGTTCACGAAGAAGCCATCTGGGCTAGCCAGGTCCCCAAGAGGAAGTAGTGGCTTGGAGCAAAATGGGGTGATGGAGATGGTGAGACCTGGCCCACCTGGAGGTGCCTTATGGGGGCAGAAATGGCAGAAGTTAGTAATGAATCGAAGAGGAACGAGGACGAGGAAGGGGTCAGAGGAGACAGCCAGGTTTCTGACAACAGCATCTAGGAGGATGGTGAAGACCAGACTTGGAGAGAAAGATCATGAAGTGCCCTCCTGAAGCCTCCTAATGGGAAACCAGAAGGAGGCAGCTGGAATCCTGGGCAGTAGATGGAGACCGCTGTTTCCGGATCGTGGGCCCCAACACAGCCACAGGGTAGAGTTGAACTAACACGAAGTCTGGGTGGTGAGACATGGGACATGTCTTACATTCTTTTCAGCACATTTCAATATTTTCTTGAAACATCTCAATGTTGAGCATAATTTGAACTAGGAGTCAAAGAGGAGAACAGAGGGCTCCAAAGTACAGTTGAATATTCCTAATGAGTCTGTGGAATATTAACCAGTCAGAAACCTCACAGTGCAGCCAAGGGGCCAGAGGTCTGTGATCTGTTCCCCACTCGCTCTCCCTGTGTCCTCAGGGGCTTCTGTGGCTTCCTCAAAACCCAGTGGCCTCAGTTAACATCAGGCTTTTCATCCTTCCTCACAGCCAGGAACAATGATGTTGAGGATTTATCATCATTAAAATCAATTCTCAGTGTATAGCACCAAGCAATAAAAGATTATAAAACGGTATGTGTTAATTCACTTTTGGTAAATGTACCTTACAAATAACGTATACACACAAGCAGGCAAAGAGAAATGTCTGAGTGATTTCACCAAATGTTGGCAGCCCTCGTCCCTGGAGAGGGGACTCACAAGTGACTCTCCGTGTGAGAGAGGGAGGCTGGACACCCCGCCACATTTTCAGATGAAACTGAGGCTTGGGAATCTACCTGTCTCTGCCTCAGCCAACTCTGAGAGGTGAAGGGGCCCTGCTGAGACTGTGGACGCCTAAAGGGATGGTGGGGGGTTAGTTCATCCTATGAGTTTATTTTTAACTAACCACGTTAATGTGAACAACTCAGTGGCTTTAGTACCTTCACCATGTGATGCAACACCCACCTCTATCAGGTTCAAAGCATTTTCATCACCCGAAGGAAACCCCTTCCCCATTAAGCAGTCCTTCCCTTTTCCCTCCTCTTCCAGCCCCTGGTCACCACTAATCTGCTTTCTGTCTCTGTGGGCTTACCTATTCTGGATGTTTCCTTGAAATGGAATCGTGCAATCTGTGAAGTTTTATGTTCAGCTTCTTTTACTTTATGTTTCAAAGGTTCACTCATGTTGGAACAAGTGTCAATACCTCGTTGTTTTTTATTCATTATTTTCACTGCCGCCCAGTCGATTCAGACCCCTAGTGACCCAGTGACAGCAGAGCGGAAAGTGCCCAGTGTTTTTGCACCATCCTCTCACCTTCTGGCACAAGTGAGAGAGCGCTCCACTGCTATTCACAGTATTTTCATGGCCAATTTTTTGGAAATGGATATCTAGGTCCTTTTTCCTAGTCTAAGTGTGGAAGGGTCACTGAAACTTGTCCACCGTGGGTGACCCTGCTGGGATGGGAAACACTACCGGTGGCATAGGCTTCAGCATCACAGCAACAGGAAACCACCACAGTATGACAACTGACAAACTGGCGGGGTAGTTCCCGTGACTGGGAAACAAACCTGGGCTGTGGTGGGGAGAGCACCGAATCTTAACCATTAGACCACCAGGGCTGGCTTTCTATGGCTGAATAATATTTCGTTGTATGGAGAGACTGCATTTGTTTATCCATTCATCCACTAATGGACATTTGGGGTGTTTCCACCTTCTGGCTGTTGTGACTAGCGATGCTGGGAACATTCCTCCACAAGTAGTTGTGTGAACACCTGTTTTCAATTCTTTCATTCTATACCTGGGGTGGAATTGCTGGGTCATGTGGTAATTCTGTGTTTTACATTTTGAGGAACTGCCCAACTGTTGTCCAAAGTGGCTGCACTGTTTTACTTTCCTACCAGCAATGAGTCGTGTTTTATTTTACTCTCTGCCTCAGCACGTCTGCCAGGCACCTACAGGGAGAGAGACAGCTGCTATTCACCGAGAAATTAGCAGCCTGGCACCATGAGAAAGCTGTTTTACTCCTCTGTATGGTTTGATATTCACGACAGCCTAAGACTATGGTGATATTAATGTTTCCACTCTACAGCTGGGAAACCGAGGCCAGAAAGCTGAGCTGTCCGCCTGAGCCCCACAGAAGGTGGCAGGGTGGAACTCACGCCTGGGCAGCTCTGACCCCAGGCCTGCATGGTGTGCTGTTTCAGAAGCACATGCTGACCCCACAGGCAGGTTCTGACAAGTGTTTGGTGGATTATGAATCAGTGTCAAGTATCGTAGGCGAGGAGAACCAGCTCTGTGCCGTGGGTATGAGATTGCCCCCTGAACCCCATCATGTCTATCTATTGCCAGTGGTCAGGCCATACTTCACCCAATTCCAATACGTAACTAAGGTTCTGTTCTCTCTTCAATATCTAATTTAGAGCTGCCTTCTCCATCAACATTTCTGTCCTCTCCCAGCCACATGGATCTTGTATCTGATGTTACTTTGAAGTCTCTGGACCTCTCATTAAGTACTTCTATTGCTGTTCATTTGTTACTGGTTTAACAAGTAACTGTAAACCTATGACAATTGATTAGACATGACATTAACTAAGTCCCCGGGATAAACTATTTTATTCGTTTTCTATTACCCATAGGAGCTTTATTACAATAGGTGACTCTATTTTTGGAACCACTGTTATTCTAAGAGTTGTGGGGTTTGAGAGGAGCATGTCAATGGAATCCCATATTTGCATCTATGAAGAACATTCCCCTCCTGGGATGGGGACCAGCCCAGGAATGGACCAGTGAGAAGGCAGGTAGACACTCAAGTGGCAGTCTGTTTTGGAAGTCTCAGGAAGAAGAGAAGAGTCAACTCAGATTCATTTAACTGAAGCTCCTGGAAGGAACACCGTCTCCCCTGACCTCCCATC